ATTGTTTCTTGCTTGTTTGTATATGAGAGGTGACTGGACACTGAAATCAAATTAAAATTACTACTAATATGGTATTGTACTGAGAGAATTTCTGTCTTCATTTTTTGTTCCTTTTTTTTTTTCCCTCTTGTTAACAAGATAATAAAGTGTAACACTTGATGTAATAATACTCGTGGTGTAGAGTTGGATGTCACTTTAAAAAAACCTTCATACCATACAAAATTGTGCATAATAAATCATATATCGGAGCTCAAGAACATCATAGTACAGCTCTTAGTTCGACTCGTCTTCTGAGCTCAATCAGAAGTAAATTACGAAATTCCCAATTCTAGTTATGAGTAGGTCGAAAATAATAGTTCTCGCTAAAGATATGCGATCTAGAAGCAATGAATATCTCAGAGCCGAATACCAATCCAATCAATGATGAGGGCATAATGGCCTAGGCTCGAAAGCTAGGCTATGACCAATGATTCTCTGCCATACCTCTTGAGAAGACTAGTGAGAAGTCAATAAAAGCACTTGAGTGGATCAAGTCGCATGCATATCATAGTTTATTGAAATGAACGGGGCCGTATCGACCCATTCTTCATCTTATAAAAGGGATACGTAGCCATTTGGAAATGTAAGCAAAGCTTTACATTATAAAAATGTTTTTGCTTGTACATATTTTAATCAACTATAGAATAACACCGCGCAAAACATAAGCTATCAGCTCATATTTATCTATCTCTGCTCCTCGATCAAACAAAGGCAGGCGTTTGATCTAATCTATTTTTCCAATTTATAAAATTATTATTGTCTTGTTAAGGGATAAAATCTCATATCAAATAAAGATGAAAACATAGACCAATTTATAAGAGTTTGGACTTTCCCTCTTAATAATGTTGAACTTTTAAGACCCCAAATCTTTCCTTTCTTTCATGGCAATAATCTTTTTTCAATTAAAGCTGAAGAATTATACTCCAATTCCAAAGATGCACACTAATTTTTAGCCAAATGCAGTAAGGTATTGACAGAGATGCATTATGTACAACAAATTCAACTACAGGACATCAATGGACAGAGTGCCACTTTTACTGTTCTTACAGCTTTACAGCTGTTAGCAGAAAAAGAGGAGAAGAAATAGAGAAAAAAGGGATTTATTTTCTAAGTTAAATACATGGCTTTATTAATAAAAACAATAAAGATAATAGAGAAGAGTGAGTGAAGGTCAAAAAAGAAAGGTTTATATCAACAAGCTAAAGTCTTCCACCATCATATATTATACAGCCATTATTTTATGGGATTCTTCTAATTTTTATGATACACACGTTTCACATATTAGATTGAAAAAAGTTAGTCCGATTGAACTAAACAATAATGAAAGCTCTGCTTATGGAATTACGCGGTTTTATATCCCGTGAGTTAAGGGTTCTAAGCGAGTTGCTCGCCTCACCCCCACTTGCAAGCATATCAACGAAGCATTCGTGTAAGTCAACACGTCGATGGCTCGTAATTTTCAGTTCAAATTAAAAAAATGATGAGCCGAGTCTGATTGTAGGTGAGCTAAGTGGCTCTTCGATCTCTTTAACACCCCTACCATAAGTGAAGTGAATTAGACCAAAGCTAACTAATTTTTAGTTCAAATTCTACAAAAGTGATGAGCCGAGCCCGATTGTAGGTGAACTAAGTGGCTCTTCAATCCCTTCAACGCCTATACCATAAGTGAAGTGAATTAGACCAAAACTAACTAATTTTGAATCGGTGTTATAAAATCCAGTTTTATGTTTCACTTTTATAACTTCGTTTCAGACGAAGACGAAAGTGTCGATTATTTTAAATATATATTAATTCATAAAATTTACTGGTACTATTCATTTATCTATTACTTATTTCTATATATTTATAAGCACTCGTCAAATATATATATACGGCTTGTTTGAGCCCCGTTTTTTTTCAAAACTTATTTTAAACCACGTTTTTCAATAAAATAATTTCACGCATAAATCGAAATTTTTTCATTCTTTTCTAACCACACGTTCTCCCGAATCACTATTCTAAAATGCATCAAACAAGGGCTAAATGATAGCTTTTATAAAAATATAATATTGAAACGTATATAAATTTGGATTCTTTAGTTAGAATCGATAATCACGGTAGAACCATCTAGTAATTTCAAGACTCAGATCCAACTAAAATTTAAATTTGCTGAGTTGCAATCGAACAAGTTCAATCACGCTTCGATCCACTTTGGATGGTTTCGAGAGAAACGTTCGTTGATGTCTATTCTTAATAATTATTTTACGAGATTTTTCATTTATAGTTTTTTTTTCGACAAAGAACAAAATTATAAAGTAACGAGATATTAGGTTAATTGGAGGGTCCATGGGTAACATTCATCCACATGTCTCACACCTATCAAGCACTACTCACCATCAATTCTCTCTCAACTTACCTTAAGACAAGGCAACAAAATTAGGAAAGAAAACATGTTTGATCTTCCACAAATTCAAAGATTTTGTCTCCCAAATTCAAATACATCACTATCAACTTTTCTCTATCCCAGTTCATTGCCCATTTTTTCATTTCTCCCATTAAATTTAGTAATTTGGCTTTTTGTTACGAGTAATTTTCTGAAATCTCGTGTTTCATCTCTATACATTTAATTTTAAGATAAAAAATTTAAAAATTGTATACATCTCAACATACGTTTGAGATAGATTACTTGAATAAACATGTATAAGCACATGTATTCGGTAAATCACTCGAACTTGTCTAGACTATACAAAAGATTGTTTGTCGATCGATCAACTCAAACCACATCGATCATGTTGCCTAACCCCTTTATCAATCAACCATTCACGTTTAGAGTTAACATAAACTCCTTGTTAGGTTTGACTAGACCAAGAAACCATCACCTTGAGTTAAGTTTATACAGAAACATTTAAATGACGACTTAAGATTTATTTAGCAGGACTTCTAAAAAGTAAAAAAAATATTTTTTTCGAGATTAATAAGTTACTTTTAATCATGTTTGAATAATTTTCTTAAGTGTTTTATTCGAATAAAATCTTCTATAAGATGCATAAGTAAAAGCAAAAACTCTACCAAACGAATCTTTAAAGAAGGTAATGCTTTATTGTGAGAAATCACGTGGTATTAAGCTATTGAGAAATTTAGTTTTTAATATGTGAATTATTATTATTATTATAGATTATGATGGTGGATGACCAATGTGTTGACATGATTCGGTGCAGGCAGTGAGAGAATGACAAGTGGCCGAAGGTTAATTGCTGGTTTGGATTTATTTTACTTACTTATTATAGCCAGTTGGTACGCATGCAAAGCCTAAATCAATTGGTTCTTCCAGACATATTCTATAAGAAAAAGTTAAACATAGAAAGTAAAATTATGTGTGAGACCCCATCAGTTGATTAGACAGAATTTTGCATTAAGGTTAAAAAAATATATATATATAATTTCATGTACGTTAATTTTTTCGATGACATTTTTGATGCAGACTTATGTCTCTTGCTTAGCTAAAAAGCCAAAAACGAAGTTAATTGATACTTGAGAAAAAAGAACAATACATTAGTCTGGAAATGGACATTTTACAAAGAAAAAAGAATTATCACACAAGTCAAAGATATTTACACCCTGTTTGGTAAAAATTTAAATTCAAATTTAAATTTAAGCAATCAGCAATTAATTTTAACCATACATTTTATGGGACCCACGACTTTTCAACCACACATCTCATTAAATTTTATCAAAATTTACTAAAAATCTGATTTTAATCCCGATTGAACATGAGCTTATTATGTAAATTAGAATAATGTTCCTAATTTGTAATTCATGTGACTAAAAATGCAATTCCCAAACAAAATAATTTAAGAAGAATCACGACACAAGGAAGGAGAAGATAATAACTAGTTATTACATAGAGGCACGACGGCATTACTTTACTCTCCCTGTCGCGTAATTTCTCCCTACCCGAGGCAGGGGTCGGGTTCCCCACCCTCCCCGCGTAGTTTTTTTTTTCTTTTTAATCAATTTTTTCCCTTAATTTTTATAATAAAAATGAGACATGCTAACATGGAAATTTTTATATAATATAAACATTGGCATGTCTCGTGAGAATCGGTACAAAATATTTTGAAAAATTCTACTTGTACATCAACTTTTGTTCATAAGGGACTACACCCCCTCATATGGGGGGTGGGACTCACTGCATAAAATATTTTTTTATCTAAGTGGGTTCCACCCCCATGTGAGGGAGGTGTACACCCCGATGTACATTGTGATATACAAATAGGAAAACCCAATTATTCTGTCAACCCTAACGATACAAATAAATTATAAGTACTATTCTCAAATTTTAAAACTGAATTTGTCAATTCTTTGTTGTTAGTTACTTCATTTGATTGTAACATTTTTGGACAAATATTTGTATTGTTGAGTATAGTAGGCTTCCTTGCTGCATAGAAAATAAATGTTGTGTTTTAATTAAAAGCTAGCTAGACAGCAACCCAAAATTCAAGTTAGACATCTAGGATGTTGAGTAGGCCTGTTATCTGTCTATCGACATTCTTAGACGTCGTTTTTAGCGAACGGTCCTATCTTGTGAACATAAACGTCTGTCGCGGGGTCAAACTCAAACCCATTGGCCGACAACAACTATTTTTTCCATTCACATGCAAACCTAACCTAACCCCTTTTCTCACTTGTTTACAGTCAAATCATTGAAGAATTTTAAGAACTGAAAAATAATCTATTACAAGATTAAACATAAATGCGCTTTAGCTTATGATAATACAGATTTGTCCATGGATATTCTTAATAGCATTTGGTTCTCTCTCTCTCTCTCTCTGTCTCTGTAAACTGCCAGCTCTTTCTGCCAATACCAACTCCCTTGTTTTTTCTTCCATTCTTACGCATAATGGCAGAGATAATAAATCAAAGCCAATTGAAGATAAAATTAATCAAAATAAATATAGATATTAAGCTTCTTCAGATAGTAATTAATGAGGGCTCCCAACAGCATCAACGAAAACTCTGCTCAGTGATGGCAGTTTCATTTGCTGTTCTTGAACCCTTCTTTTCTTCAACAGTGGCTGATGAGCCGACGAAGGAGACGACGAAGAAATGCACGATGCCACTCCCCATGAATCGTTTGAGCTATCGGAACTGAATGATAATGCATCCATTACACCATTTGGACTGCTTGGAACTTCACGAAATCGACGCTTTTGAAGAAATGAACCAGTCTTTGATGTCTCTGAAATAAGCTCACAGCAATCGTTCAATTGCTCCTGTAGATAAAAAAAATGTTTAAAACGTTCAAAAACAGACCATAAAAGGAAAAATAACAAGAAGGGCGTCATTAAAAGACAAACGTAAAATACAAACAAACAAACCATGTTTATTTGGAGAATCCCAAGAAGCTGGTTTTCGTAGTCAATGGCTGCAGTGTAAAGTTCTACTTGATGTATAACGCGAAGCATGGTTGCAGTAGCAACAACAGAAGGCAAATAACGTGCGAATCTTGAATCTGAAGTCACAAAATCAAAACTTAAATTATTTGTAATACAAAATGTCGGTGTATATGAGATTTGCATCATGTATGCTTACCAGGCATAATAGAGAAGATGAGATTTTCACATTTCCTTAGAAACTCCAAGTGAATATAGGATTTTAATCCAAGCCTTCTTATTATATGATCAAGAAATGAAAGAGGAGTCACTGGATTCATCCTCCATTTGAGTGCAGAAAGCACCAAAAGTTCCATTCTTTGAATTGTTTTCGACTCGAACACATAATTTGCATTCTCCACCTGTTGATCAAGATTAACAAATTCAAAACCAAAAAAAAGCATGCAAACGAAGAGGATCTCCAAGTGCGTATTTGATATACAATACTAGACTGGAATGGAGAGTCGGGAACATACTTGAAGGTCTAAGAGGAGAGGAACATGGGTTTCTTCGACCTTTGCAGCCAAAGAAAGACAAGTGACAGCTGCAAGTTGAATCATCCATGGCTTATCTTTCTGAAAATGTAAGCTGTAAAGAAACCTATCAAGATAATTAACTGCGAGAATTGCAGTTAATGCTGAAAATCCATAATGAGCATTCACTTTCAAGATCCATTCCACGGCCTGTTTTCGAGCAAGACAAAGTGAAAATTCGATTTCAACATTAATGATTGATTCAAAAAAGGTTTCCTTTTCTTTGCAGAACAGAGATCGAAGTTCTTCATCATCCCAGAACAGATCTTGTTCCGTTACCAGCACCGAAAAAACAGAAAAAATTTCGCCATCAAAATGATTATTGAAAATGATTTCACTCTCTTTTTCTTCAACTTCACCCCATTTTTCTTCTTCTTCTTCACAGTAAAGAGCATCAAACAAAGAAGAATCAGAATCTAGATTTTTCTCTATAGCCATCTTCTTCTGAAAAGAAGAGGTTTGTAATTTTCTGTGTTCATTATACAAAACAGAAAACAAAAAGAAACCCAAACCCCATTTTCATCTTTCAACCTTTTCTCTCTATATGACTCTCTCTCTTTCTCTGTGTTTCTCTCTCTGAATCTGAATGGAGACTGAAGAACTCAGGTCTCAAAAACAGAGAGATAAAGGAAGAGATTTTATCAGAGTGGTTTTCACGCTTGTCCTTTCTTTATGCTTTCGGATTGTAGTTAATATATTGACAATTTTTTTGTTTTTCACTTTTGCAACTTTACGCTGTATTGGACTGTGTGTTCTTCTTGGCGGGCAAAAACGTAACGGCACACACACTGACACCAAGTAAGGTCACGAGAAAATTATCGGGCATAGAAGCAACGTCAACACACACTGCACGAAATATAAATTAATGTTATGTGAATTGAAGATTTTACCCTTTATCCCTGAGTCGCGTGAAAGTCACGTGTTAATTATATACTTGTGATGAGATTTTTTTCTACCTTACTATAAACTATAAAGCATGAAATGGTGTGATATTATGGTAATGATGGCCAACTCATCCAGCCAACTTAAAATAAATAAATTATTACGTACTATTAAAAGTTAAAACACAGTTGTTATCCAGTTAATCCATAATTAACAACCTAATTACAACGCTAACAACAGTCATTTCATGATTCTTATTAAAGTCAAAAGCGGCCCACAATTTCTGTTTCGAGTTCAAGTTGAAGGACCTTATCAGATTCTCAAAATCATTTCTCCCCCACTTTCTTGTACCTTGGGATCACACCTCGTGTAACTACCGGTCTCTGTGTTCAAGCTGTTAAATTCTTATGTATTGTTTGCTTTGAAAGAGTATCGACCCTCTTACTCCTCACGAATTCTCTTAACGTCCCCCAAAATTCGAATAAAAAACTTATGTCTTATGAGAGACTTAAGTTAAATCACGATCTCAATTGAGTAAGTTGTTCAACCGATATTAGGATTCAATTTAAATCTCTATTCGAAATTTGAAGGACGCAACAAAAATTTGTGAAGGATACGATGGACAGATACTCGCTTGAGGGTGGGTAGTACGTATAATATAATGACTGGGTACATAGAATCGATCATTGCACCTTGAGAATGCAAAAAGTTGTGCAAAAGACTTGGAACTGTGTCTGTTATGTCTCATTTGAAAAGGCTCTAGATCATCACCCACGTGGTAGCCAACTAAACGATATCCCCGAGGCCCACACTTCATGTCACCTCCTACCTGCCCGAGGTGAGGCCACAAGGTAGCCAAGGTGAAATACCACTTCAGTCGAGGTTCACGATGAGGCCGGCTCTCCATGATCAAGGTGAAATGCCACGCATGCTGCAGGAAAAAGTGCAAGGCTCCTAGCCTCCACATTCGCAAAAGAGCATCTTCCATTTCACATCTTCCCAAGAGATTCGATACAAGATCCTTCAACGGCTCATTGATGTGATAACTCACTTCAACAAGCACTTCAAGGTCAAATTATGAGTTTATAAGAGGTCAGATTTAGGCTATAAGGTTACAACTTTTCAGAGATATTAAATGCTCATAATGTGCCCAGTAATTGACAGATCGACCATCAAGATAAGGCGACATGTCTTTCCGTCCAACCACCATTATCTTATATCTTTTATTATAAAAGCTCACACATTATATCATTCAAAGGTAATGCAACTTCATATACTTAAACTATAAATTTGCTATCTATTCATTCCCTTAATACCCTCCCGGATCCAACCTGATTTGCTTAGTGGCTCACGTCTTTAACGTGTCCCACATCCCCTTCACTCATACATTATCTAACTTGATCGTAGGAGTACACCCAACTATCTTTCCCACCACGAAAAAGGTCTCGTGCGACTTATGATTTGTCCAAGTGTACATAACTAAAGTTTACGTGAATGAAAGAAGACCCGAGATCCATTGACCATGTTACTCCTACAAAAATCGAGGTCAACGATGTCTGTGTTAAATTTGACCCTACTATGGAATGTGCCGCCACCCGTCCCAACACACTCTAGGCATGGTCCAATCCAACGAGCCTGTTGGCCCTGTAGATTTGACTTGCCTCAACCGTGCCAAGCGGGTTTACGAATGACAGTGAGAAAAGGTCACATCCAAGTATACAATAAGATGGTTCCCCGAGTTTGCCACTGAGAAAGAATGTAAGTGGAACGCCGAAAGGGAAGCAGTCTCGAGTGCCAAAGGTGTCAAATCCACCATATAATATTTAGTCAACAAAAGTAGTGGCAAACTGTTGAAAGGTCTATTCATCTTATGATTTACAATTATTCAATCTCACGTGACATATCCACTCATGCATAATCATTCCCCCTTCATCTGATTTTCCCAACAAAATTATCTAAAGAGCAAACAACAAATGCCTTACAAAATGTACGTGTATATACAATACAATCAACCAATGAAAGAATACCGTGTCGCAACATAAAAGTTTCCAGAAAAAGAAGACTTGTCGAATATGATATACACTTGATAACTAGCGTTAACTAATTGATGCTCTTTCTTCATCGGAAGTATTCAGCTTCAGTAGGGCGGTAGAGGATATGGTGGTGGTGGATATGACCCTGTTATGAAGAAGTAAGTAGAGTAAGTCTTTTGAGCAGAGTATATTATGTACAAAGCTACAAACCAAAAGGATTTTACCTGGAGGGTAATAGTGCAAGTCTTGAGGTGGTGGCAAATATAGTGATGGAGGATATCCAGAAATTGGAGGGTAAGATGGAGGATAAGTAGCAGGCTGAGAATGATAAGGCGAAGGAGGGTATCCTGCTGAGGTAGGGGGATATGTAGGATACAGAGATGGAGATGAGTAGCCATTTACAGATGGATTGTAAGGAACGGTAGATTGAGGTGCAGAGAAGAGAGTGACCTGAGGTACCGATGCAGCCCCAAATGGTGGAGCCGATGGAGCATAGCTCATTGCTGGCTTCTAAAAAATATCAAATGATGAAATGTGCATAAGTAACGAATAATTTATTCATAATAGTAGGTACAAGCGGTGTAATTTATTCTGAATGGGAAAACAAGATTTTCAAAAAGTAAAACAAAGAAGAAATGAGTTTACATTTGCATTTGCATTTGAATAGTGCATAATCAGTCGAACTACTCCAGCATGCCTGTAGACAAAAGGACAAATTTTAATCATCTACTAATTTTCATCACAGAACTCCGGCGTTGTCACAGTTTTCCAACAAGAGAAGTGTTTTATTAAGTTACAAGTGGCAAGAGAAACTAGCATTCAATCAGCAATTTGTTCTATTAATATCACCTTAACATGTCATTTGAGGGCAGACCAGCACATTACACATTTGGACATTAAAGATAAGCTAAATATATGAAAAGAACACTATACTATAAACTATCCACTGAAAATAGAATGATCCCCAACTTCACAGTGCACCCTAGGAATGCTCATCTTTAAGGGACCCAGGCGAAGTTAGATGACGGAGCACAACGTAGAAATGCTCATTTCCTAGAAATCATCTAGTGGACCTGTTCTTGCCATGTACCCAAATAATGAAAAACCATATGTAGGGTTTTTTGACATGCCACACGGAAGCAGCAGTTGAAACCCAACACATCGATATAGCACAAGAAAAGGAGGCAAATACAGCTTGCTGAGTGTACTAACTGATCGTGTAGAACAGGGGAGATAGGAAATAGCTTACAACTTTCCATCAAACAATTGCATGGATAGTGGAGTTCTCAAAGGGAAGGTCACTTTAGTTCTACAATAATTTCTCGTTGCAGTATGCAAATATCTTACGACGTAAGGTATCACATAGTACAGCATCCAAGCGTCTGTATACCGTGGTAAACTAGCTTGTCTAGTTTCATGATCAAGGACACAGTATATCGTTATTTAAACAGAAACATTTTAAAAAAACTTATTTCGACCATTTAAATCAACGACTCCCTTCCTTCTTACTCCTTTTTAAGTAAGCGTACATATTTTCCACACCATAGCTCTAGCATGCGTGATGATTTTTTGCACTTCATGTCTGCGACGATCTAGCTAGTATATAATGTTTCGAGTGGGGATATGTAAAAGGAACAGCGCGACAATTCATCACAATAATCGTAAAACAGAAGTTCATAATAGTTCCAGAGGCATTCCAAAATTTTATAAGAACTGTATAAATCACTACTCTTGAAACACAAACATAAAAAATAAAAAATACAAACATACAGAGCAAACACAAAATGCCATTAACACAACTATAACGTAGTTTTGTTTAGTATATAAGTACCTGCCTTTCTTGTCCTGAAGAGGCCACGAGTTGTCGTCATAACCCTGAGACAGAACTTTCTGCAACTGAACCCTAAACACACCAAATTAAAGATCACAGCTCAGCATACAAGAGCAGATCCTTTTTTTTTTTTTTAAAGGAAATTCAATCGTGAATTAAACTAGAAAAATTCAAGATAATTACTTTCCACTGCCGATGAAATCGTCATAAGTTAGAGTATTGCTATTCCACACGACAACATTTAACTCCGGCAACCCTTCTATCAACGTAAAGACGAATTTCTCTTGAAATATAGGGTTTTTCCCACCATCTTCACAAATTTCACACAAAAATAATCATAAATCAAAACCCATAATTTTTTTGATGAAAATAAACAACAAAAAAATCAATTAAAAACATCAATATTGCATATATATGTATAACATACCTGTACAGGTACGTGTACGGTATTTGGTGCTAGCATATTCGAGACAGATGTAGGGATCTTGCCTTGAAATCCATTCTGTGTCTTTCAATTTGGTACAACCGACCACTGCTCCAAAATTTTTAAAAATATATATAAATAATGATGAAAAAATACAATTTTTTTCAAGAAACTGAAGCAAACAGACGAAGTTAAACAGGGGAAATTTAAAAACGCGAACCTGTAATCTCAATGAGTTGACCTTGAATGCCGGAAAACGACATGGGATGTAAGAAGAACAAGATTAAGGTTTTAACGTTGTTTTTGTAATTCGATTTTCGACAACAGGAGAATAATGGTGCCCTTTTATAGTAAATTTATGAGGAATTAATTTATGCTGAAATGCGAAGAACTCAAAGCAAAATCGAATCCAATTTATAGAAAGGTTCGACTGAGGACCGGGTTGACGGCGGAGGAGGATCCGGGAGCTTTCTTATTTCTTCAACGATTAAGGAAGCGCGTACGGTAGAAAAAAAGTTGCGCGTAAAATTTTGTTGGCTGAGCGCGTGTTTATCCCATGTTAATATAAAAAAAAAAAAATCCCATGTTCTTTTATAATTCTTTGTCAACATTAAAAAAAAAAATATTATGCACTTATTAAATTCAAAATTTTTCCCTATATTTTAATCACACATTCTCTAAAATTTCACTATTCAAAACAAAATTTTTTCAAAAAAAAATAATAATAATCACCAAACAAAGGTAATTGACCAAAAGGTTCGAAGAGGAGCTAGGGATAGATAGGGACGATGATCTTGAGAGTTCATAATGATGCATAATAGTCGACTCTATGGACAAAGTCGAGAAGACAAAAAATAAATAAATAAATTACTGGGATGATACATAAAAAAAATGAATTAAAAATTAAATGGCTTGAAACCCGTCCCCATGCCCTTGACAGCCCTTGGTTGAGTGGCTCGTGAGCTTAGCCCCTGTTTGGTCCCCATTTTGGGGTATTAAAAATTTTTGAAATAGTGGTTGATGGGAGAATGTGTGGTAGAAAAGTTTTAGATTTGTGTGTAATATTATTTTATTTGATGAATGTGTGGTTGAAACGAAGAGAGAAAAAAATTAATGTAATGTAATGGGAAAAAATGGGGGCCAAACGGGGGCTTTAGTTTTGTTTGAAAAAAAATTATAATGAAATTTTATTTGAAGTTAACAAATTCGTAATTACTTTTCATTTATTATCATCTATTTTATTGGATTCACTATTCATTTTCAATATAATTTCTCTGAATTGGAGCGTGTATTTGAACTTTAGCCGCCTTAATTTTTACTCGCTGTTTTTGATAGATTTATTTGCAAAGAGAAAAGTCGGAAGGGTCCAGCCATTTTCAATGTGCACAAGTTTGATATGACCTTGTTATGCTTTGCTTTAATTGAACTGGTAAGTTTTTTCATTCATGCTAAATGTTTGGACAATCCTCTAATACATAAGGATTTGGAAATTGGAAAGATCAGAGAAGCACCGGAAATCATTACTGACGGTACTGGTACTGATATTAATATTGGTATTTCGCGACGGTGGTGGTGGTCTCATCCTCCTCACTATCAAGATTCTCCTTCTCCACCTCCATCATGTCCGTACCACCGTCTTCTTCTGCTCCTCCATACATGTTCGAGAGCAAACACGATGAGATAGTCTACCCTGTAATCCAAATATTCAAGAACAAAATCAAATATGATCCACCTAGCATTATCAATACATAAAAGAGTGGTTATGACATATGCAACAAATACTATTGAATTACTCGTCTAAAAGCGTAAATAAATTAGATTGTATTAGGAGCATGTTTGTCCAGAATTAAAATTCAAATTTAATTGAAAATATGGCCGTTATTGGGTCTTACTCATCTAATAAAAGTCAACAATAACGATTAGTTTTTCAATTTAAATATCTACCGAACACGCCCTAGATTTTATCTTGGAGACTTGACATTTATGTTTTTTGTTGTCTCTTCATCTAACGGTTTAATTAATAAGTGGTTGAATTTTATTTTTACAATAGATTTTGTATCAGACGTCCTCCTTGATCGTGGTGTAAAGGCTCTTTCTCGATTGGACTTCAATAGCTTCAACTTCGATGCACCCGAACTCGATCTCAATAGCTTCATTGAAGAATTACTGGACATAACTTTTTTCCATGCAAATTCCAACAATTTCAAAGGTGCAATTGAAATTGAAGATTTCAAAGCTCAATTCCTTTTGAATAGGATTCCAAAATATTATTGAGCATTATTTTCTAACTCTATCGTATTATTTATTTAATAATTTGACAGTGTAATAACGAGACATTTGCAGGTGCATTTCACTGAAGATTTCCAGGCTCAAGTACTTGTATGAAATTGGACCTAAGAAATAACACACACTTGTGAATTCACACACCAAATTCTTGGTGCCACCAAATTAACTTTCTTGGACCTTAGTTTAGCAAAATTTCTAGGTTGCTTTCTTGGACCTTAGGTTTAACAAAATTTCTGGGTTGTTTCTACCTCAAGTTTTCATGCTAGATCTTGATGTGCTTTTCATCACCAACAACAAATTTCATGCAAAAACTTCCCCAAAATTTGGGCTCCACCCCAGCTTTTTACTTAGTCCATATTTGGTCCAGCTAAAAAAATTGAATTTATATTTCAGTTAAAGTTAAAAATTAATTTTAACTACACATTTCATTGCATCCATAACTTCTCAACCACAGATTCTATCAACTTTTATCAAGATTAAACCAAACAGCGCTCAACCTTAGCCTATGACAATTTATTGGCCCAATTTATGAAAGTATTGGGTTGGGCCAGACCTCCTAAACCTCGATTTTCTATTTGAATACCCTCCTATCGGGCTGCTTGCCATGTGGGATTGGGCTTTTGGAAACGACAGGTGAGCCGGAGCTTCTTGATGGGCCCAATTCCACAATCTTTTGAGTGCTTACTTAAGATGGGCCGGCCCCAATGTTATTCATTGTTGCCCAGGCCCAAGCACTATCCTGATCAAAGTTGGATGCCTTGAAAGGGATTTCATCATAATTCACTCGAATACTTCGAGGGTAATATCAAGCCTGCAGCTCTGCCGAAGCCACCACTATCTTACAATGTTCTTAAAACCTCACCAGTTGTAATTAATCAATGAATCCTAATTATGCGATTGATAATATGATCATCGTAATGGTCTATCATACTTTTAAATATCGATAATTTGGTTAATGAAATGCAGGTCAATGACAACTAAAGAAATGGGACCAAATCTCCAAGTAATTGAAATTCTCGTTCCAATGATATTTGATAAATCTTATGAACAAGTGGTTATAAATATCATGCGACATAGTTTGCGGATGTCCTAGTGTTGGGTGCATTGGCGCAACGGTGGACCTGGGAAATGGACACGGCAATACTTGTGATTTTTGTCCAAAAGCATATTTTCAATCTATTCAATTTTTCTTCTGCCTTGGATTTAGTTTTACGAGTATGCAAAATTAATTAAAATGATACGCTCAAATTATAAATTCCACAAGATAGATAGACCAAGAAGTCTATAGCCAATTTATTTGAGAAATCAAGGAAAAAGCTAAAAAAATACAACGGACAATCAAGACTATCGAATATTATCAACTCCCTCAACAATTATAATTCTTGATTTCGTTAATTAAAGCATCAACATCATTAAATGAAGAGCCACCAACTTCCACCGCTCTCTTAGCCTCCTCCGCCAACACTTTGGCTCGCCGCATCATCTCCACTACCTCATTGCCGCTACCCATTAACCTCAAAACCGCTGCCTCCACCTTGTCCTTCCCCACCACCATCTTTCTCTCCATATTCCACGACGCCCACTCCTCACTTCCCACCCGTATTCCAATCTTCAACACCTCGGTCACCAACTTCTCGTTATAAAACTGCTCTGCCGAAAGCGGCCATGTGATCATACGCACACCGGCACAAACACCCTCCAAAGTCGAATTCCATCCACAATGAGTCATAAATCCACCAATAGATTCATGTTCCAAGATCAACAATTGTGGTGCCCATCCTTTGATTATCAAACCCATTTTGGAATCCAAAATTCTCTCCTCGAATCCATCTGGAAAACAATTCTCTTTGCCCTTATCATCCAAAATTTTCCCAACCACCCAAATAAAAGGATGCCCTGCTGATTCAAGACCACAAGCAATCTCATAAAGCTGTATACGGCTTAATCGAGCTAAACTGCCGAAACTTACGTACAAAACTGAATTAGGTTTCTTCGAATCAAGCCAGTTCAAGCAACTATTTTCATCAATGGTGGCCTTTTGGCCTCTTGCCGACTTGTCTTCGAGATTCCGGTTACATAGTGACACGGGTCCGACACACCAAGCTTTTTTACCAATTATGTTTCTGTAATAATCAACATAGGCTGGTTCTAAAGCATAAAAACTATTAACAACCTGTCCAAAACTGTTCTGCTCAGCTCTCATGGACTTCCCCGGGAACTCAGTTCCGGTTCGAACGAAGATCGGGAGCTGAGACCTTGTCAGTTCAATCTTATCCGGGAGGCCCGGCATGACAAAAAGCTCCGTATCAGATGCCACCTCTTTATGTGGTGAGAATCTTTTAATATTCTCATCACAGCACCGAGCAAAACAGCAATTACCATTGAAGATGATTCTAGGAATTCCAATTACATCAATTACATCCGCCACCCAACGGTGGAAGGTGTCAGTTGCTTGACAGGTTCTTGGAGAATTGAGGTATCCGTCATTGGCGGAGCTGACATGTCGACGGTTTGGAGTTGGAGGGTGGCATCAGGAGGCAGTTCGAGGGCATGGAAGTTGATGTCGAGGCCAGATTGTTGGTCTCTGGCTATGGATTTTTGGAAGACAGTGATGTCGTTTGGGATGGTGATTATGGTGGCTTTGACAGTTTGACGTCGTGGGATGCGAAGAGCCTAGCAAGATCAATCATAGGAATCAAGTGGCCTCCCCCAACAAATGGGAAGAAAAATATTTCAACCTTGCGGCCTTCCACTTCCATAGATGCTTTAGTGGTAGTTGTGGCGGGTGGAGAGCGAGATGGAAGAATTTCTTTATAATGCAATTGAACTGAGAACGAATGTACAGATCAACTGCAAGTTGGGAGCAGTATGCAATGCAATTTGTACCCTTATCGTGAGTTGGTCAATGGATAAACTAGCTCATTGAAGTGCGTACTTTATTACAAGTTTGAAACCTTGTCCGTTGACTCAACTTTTC